AGAATCCCAACTGGTGGGAGGCTGACCAGTTGGGTATTTACACAACGCGGTCGAGGAGTTGAACTCGGGGCTACCGAGGACAAATCCAGAGAGTGGTAGGGTGGAGGATTTGAACCAGGGACCTCCAGATTTCAAATCCAGCGCCCTAAACCACTCGGCCACGCTGCCTCCCTTGAGGCAGGCTTTTTTTTTTGAACAGGAAATATATAGTTCAAATTTATACGTGTGTCATGACTTAAGCCAATAACTGATTAGAATAAAACCAGGAAGTAAATGTCACTGGTCAGTGTGTAAGGTTCATTAATTAAACAGGCCATGTGTTTGTAAAAACCTTAAAGACGAAGTAAGTTGACGACAAATCCAATGAAGATCTTAAGACATGTATACACGCTTGATGAAAAATTCATTGGAACCGACATTCACGACAAAATGTTTTAGATCCAAACGAAAATTTAAAGTGCCTTTTACGGTAGATCGTTTAGCATGCTAATGGATGGTGCACCGACAAACTGGTAGAAGGTTCGTGTGCGAGGACGGCTAAAACGCCAAAAGTGTGTCATGCGCCGAGTGCGGCTGAAAATTCTAAAACGCCTGATTTCAGTTGTTGCTGGTAGTTTTGTCTGTAATAGGACTCAAACGCTTGAAAATGTTAGAATGTAATACGAATGTGCTATGTCAAAATGAGGATCACATGCTGTAAAAGACACGAAGTCCAATTACTAATTATTTGTATCAGTAACATATCTCGAGGTTAACAACTCTTTGGAGTGAATAAGTGAGCGATATTCCATCAGTTTTACAAACAGCTCGGGCGGAAGTTGCAAGAAAGGACGCAGGTCTTCAGGTAAGGTGTCATAAAGATAAAGACAGACGTCACTGGCTTGAGTGTCAGTCATGTCAGTATTTGTAAACACAACACAAGCTCTTTCAGCTTTCGATATTGCACATGAGATATCGCTAAAAATACCTGTAAGATAACATAGGTTGAGATACCAGTAAAATATAGTAAGGTAAGATACTGGTAAGAATACTACTGAATGAGATCCTTAACTGTTCAGGTTTGCATCAAAATTGCCGGTTTTCATGTGAGGTCATCATTTCCCAAAATACAAAATTACCAATTTTTCTAAAGTTTTAGCTTCGTCAAATGTAAGACCCTCTAATAAATTGACGTTTGCAACGTTTAAACCCGACAGGATTCCTCATTGTGTAACAGAGCACGTCTGAATTTCCAAGTTTATGCGTTGCGTGACAATAAAATGGCGGCCCGATAAGGCTCTCGAGTAGGTCAAAAGATGCGTTACTGTTCAAGTTTTTGCTAACTAAACAGTTCTTGCTCTAGACGAAGTATTAATTTCAATGTGTCGGAGTTCTAGAGTAATAAATTTTCGTTTCAACGGCAAAACTCAATGACAGATGTTTACGGCCGCCATGTTTGTGTCCCTTCGAGGGGTACAAACATGGTCACACCATGCAAAGCTCTATAAATGTGAAACCACACAGACCTAAATCTTGGCGAGGCTGTTTGTATATCAATAATCATCTTTTTTATCCCAGCTTTTTGGCTTAAATTATTGAATGGTTACGATTTTTATTTGATATGGCGGGACCATG